TAATCATGAAGTATTTGGAAATGTGTTTGCGATACAGATGTCAAAGTGCAAAACAAAAATTTCGCCGTCATTTCATGAAGATATGATGTTTGATAAAGTAGACACACTAGTCTATCACAGTTTATATTAAAGCACTATTCTAGAGCAATAATAACGCAATATAAAATCTTCGAAAAAGGCTTTTATCAGGCAGAGACAGTAGAAAATATCGGCCCAGACAGCTAATTGCCTAATTTTTGGGCTGCATAAAAAGGGAAGGGAGCATCAGAATTATCCTGTTGCTAGGCTACAATATTAACTCAATGGAAATAATAAAACTGCAATCGGAAGTTTCCTATATCTCTGTAACTCTAATATCTATGATTTTGGTGTCCAACATGGCCAATCTTTTACATGGTAGACAATACTTTTCCTCTCTTTCTGGAGCTGATAAGATTAGGTATGTTGCTAAAGTTGAATGAATCAGTGGTCAGAAGTACTGTGATCAAGTGGACCCATACCAGATTAGCGAATGGATTGATGATATTGAGCAGTGGCCTCAGTTGCAGTTTGGGGACATTCATACATACCTCGTTGACACTGCTGGATTGTACACAAACAAAGCAATGAAAGCTTACAAAAGTTTAGATTCATATAACTATTACAACAGGTAAGTTGTTGGAAAGTTGCTGTGTCTTCATATATATTTTCTTGCATAGTGGATGGGTCCAAACTGTTCTGCTACATCACATAAGAGAGGGAACATCCTTAATGAAAGTACATGTGAAACCATTGCAAAGGCTGAATGATAATCCACATTTAGCTTGGGTTGCTATTAAGAATAGTGATGGAAGTGTACTAACTGGACACTGTACCTGTATGGCTGGGTAAGTGAAAGGTGTTTCAATACAAATTGATTTCAGTTGTAATCTTTAGTTGTGGCGAGGTATGTTCACATGTAGGTGCCATACTATTCAAGATCGAGGCTAGTGCCAGGTTGCAACTATTTAAGACATGTACATCACTGCCATGTATGTGGAACCAAGCATATTCTGATAAAGTAGGATTGTGATTATATTGAAACCACTATACATGTACATATTATTTTTACAAGGTTCGTCCCACCACAATTAGCAGGGTCAATTTTACGGCACCAAGTAACAGGAGGAAGCTTGAATGTACTAAGGACAATCGAAGAGAAGAATCATCTCCAACTAATTTTACTCCTCGCATTCCAAGACAGAAATTACTAAGTGCAATCTAGGTAGTTAATTCATCAGCTGCTATTTTGACTGTAGTTCCTACTTCTAATTACTGGCCTTGTGATTTATCTCAAGGCTCTGCTGTTAACAATGAAGCTGAACAACAATGTACAGTTGGAAATGGGTCTGGTGAGCCTGCTGATGGAGTTAACAATAAATCATTGGAGCCACAACAAGAATTATGTCGACAAAACATTCATAATGTTGAGTCATCTGGTAATCAGGAGTGCAACAGTCTAAGCAACGAGTCGTTTGACCTTATACATGTAAATAGCAGAAGACATACATGTACATGACATGGCTTCAACTGCTCCTGAGCCATCTACCTCTCACCCCTCTTCCTCCCTCTCTCCTTCCCCCTCCTCTCTCTCCCTCTCTGTACCCAGACCTGATTCCACACAAGACCTCCCTCCTATATTGCCAGATCTTTTTGTTTCAGAAAGTGTAAACTGGTCTGATGAATACACACAAGAGGTATCTGATAATACTTTCAGTGGATTAGCTGTCTCGCATATTCAAGTTAGTAATTTGGCTGCATTGATGGTTCATCAATCATCATCACAGCTTTGGTTTAAGCACAGACTGGGAAGGATAACTGCATCAAATATGCACTCTGTTGTAAAATACACTGGGAGAAAGTATCCTAAATCGATTGTTCAAACAGCTAAGCAATACACTACGGTTAATGCAAACCTGCCAGCATTAACATAGGAAGAGAGAATGAATCTCAGGCTAGAGATTGTTATGAAGTGGAACAAAAGATGAAGCATTGTAACTTCAAAACTGCTCTTTCGGGACTCATTATTAATCCTCTTCATCCTTTTATGCAGCTAGTCCTGACGGTATTTCATCGTGCAATTGTTGTGAGACACCTCTGGTTGAGATCAAATGTCCTAGCTTATACCGTTGTGAGACGCGTCTGGTTGAGATCAAATGTCCCAGCTTATACCGTTAGACACACATCACCAACAAGTGAGAAAGCTTTACGAAAAAAGGGTATTTTCTGGTTAGAGGATCAAAAGGAGTTGTAATGCTTTCTCGAAAACATAGCTACTACACCCAAATTCAGTGCCTGCTTCTTGTTGCTGATAGAGAAACTTGTGACTTTGTCTGTTGGACCCCACATGGCATATTCATGGAAATAATAGCAAGAGATGAGAGTTACTGTGAAAAAATTGTCAACAAATCAAGATCTTTTTTTGTAAGTACTTGTTACCAGAGCTATTAACTCATAAATTTAAGTAAGGAGTAATTGTGTCAGAGAGTGCTACAAATGAGGAAAATGAGGATGAAACATATTGTTTTTGCAAGGAACATAAGGACAGAAAGATCATTGCTTGCAATGGTCCTAAGTGTGACATTGAATGGTTCCACTACAAATGTGTCGGAGTTTCCAGAAAGCCAAAGGGAAATTGGTATTGTCCAAATTGTCGCACTTAATTGTTAAAGTGGTTCACTTACAAGTATAATTAATTGTTATGTATTTTGCTTCTTTGATTATTATCCAGTAAAAAATTTTTCTGAATCAAGTATTCACACAACTGATTTACATGAATTTACTAAAGCAACACATACAGTAACAATTTTATCAATAGTTGTAATGTCTTTGTCAGATTTACGTTTAATAAGGTTAATAGGTAGTGTAGTTTGCAGTATCTTGTGCTTTTTCTTCAGCTGCCCAATGACCCTCTCAACATGAATTCGCACCCGAGACATCTGTCGAGATGTTTCCACTTTCATACCAGAAAATTGTTTTTTGCCTTTGGTAAAGCCTGGAATTACCAAATGTGCACCAATAGTTGCAATGTCATCAGAGACATTGAAGCCTCTGTTGGCCATTATAACATCTCCATAATTGATTTTGGTCAAGAATCCACTTTGTTGTGTAATTATCTTATCCAATGCTCTTCTTCACCAGGCTTTACTGATAAAAGAAATGGCACCTGTTGGCGATATTCCAATTAGAACTTTTATGGTGTTGTGCTTTTTGTAGTTACTATAAGTAGCTGCTCTAGCATCAAAGGACCTTGGTCTTTGAATAAACACTTCAAAACAGTCTATTATGCACACCACATGAGAATATTTTTCTTTGAAACATTTCAGTAGGTTTTTACGCAGTGTTTCAGAATCAGGCCATATAATCAACTGTTTTAACTCTCTGTAAAGAATGTTTAGCCATCGGTGGAAAATTTTAGAAAACAAACCTTCATCAATATTAGCTCTGTATGCTATGTCCTTGTTAACTAGACCAAGTCGTAATTTAACCAAAGTATAAAGCAATTCATCTTCTATGGTGCAGGACGTAGTAAATGGTTTGGTGACCATTGGTTTAAAAATTGTACAGATCATCTGGAAAACTTTGAGTGGTAAACCAGTGTACAATACTGACTTCTGGCTGTCCCTTGTCAAAGATAAAGCATCTAGCTTGTAGGGATGCAGATACAAAGATGTTCTTAGAGCATTATCACACAATTGTTTGAGATGCGACAGCTGATTTGCTTGAGATTTGCATATAGTGAGCAATTTATTATACTGCACCCTAATCTCTTCATTAGATTTCATCAGGAGCTCATTATCATACTGTAACTCACAAACATCAAATGAAGACTTCTCTAGTTCCCTTTGCAACGAATCCTGAGTGATACTTACAGCCAAATCGTCTGGAGGAACCATGTTTGTATGCACATACCCATCATTACTTTGATTAAGGTTCGCCAAGCTCTCTTGATACTCATTCTCTTCATTGTTCTCCATTGCTTTATGTTCAATGCCTTCATTGTCATCACTGCATCTTTCATCTTCCTCTAAATCTAACGAAGTTCGATCAAAAACAATTTCATCCACAGCCAACGCTCTATTGTTTCTTGCCTTGTTGGCATTTAGAGGAATACCAGCAGTGAACCTTTTCCTTCGAGTCTTAACTGTAACGACTTTCTTGGCCCTAGCAACAGCCCTCTTATATCGCTGTAGAGCATTTGCCCCGTCGACTTGTTTCTCAACTTTATTATAATCAAATACTGACGGCACATAATCTATATGTTTAGGATTATTATGGTGTTTGCCTAAAGTATACCAACAATAATAAAATCATAATATGAGTACACACAAACTACCTACCTGTGACAAAGTGTCTGCTGCAAACTCTAGTCTGCTCCGTTGGTGACCAGTTCTCATGTCTGATAGCAGCTATCCACCTATCTCTCTTTAATGGATCAACAGGGAAACAATTAAAAGACAAGTTCTGTCCTTTTTTATGATGAGAATGGCAGCCAACAGCACAACAAGATGGCATTATTGGACACCAAAATGGCGGTTTTGAAATTTTATGAAATTTTTTTCTCATTAGAACAATACGGTTTATTCATGAATATATTTAGCACCAAGAGGTCTATAGAATGGCTTGTAAAAGAAAGTTGTGGTCCCAGACAGCGATGGAAGAAGCAGTGAAGACGGTTATAGATGAAGGAAGTGGTCTAAGACAGGTGGCAAGAGCGTATAACATGCCAGTAGAAACATTAAGAAGGCGAGTGAATGGTACTGTAGAAGTGGATTGCACTGAAGCCTGGACCCGCAATAAGGATATGGTTTATGATTATCTAGTTCAGATGTCTGAGATGGGATATGGGTTATCACGGGAAACAGTGATGAGCATTGCCTATAAGGTAGCAGGGAAATTGAAGAAACAGCATCCATTCACAGGAGAATCTGCAGGTTGTTCATTGCTAGACGGTTTTAGACATCGTCATCCAAACATCACCATTTGCCCTCCACTCCCTCTTTCATATAACAGAGCTGTGTCAGCTAATATTGATAGTGTGAATGATTTCTTTGGGAAGATTGGAGGAATATACGGCAGGCTAAATTCAATATCTAAGCCTACGTGCGTTTTTAATGCAGATGAATCTGGTGTATCTATTGTTCATTGCCCATCTGATAAAGCTTTTAATAACAGAAAATCACAAAAATTGTCCTAACATGTCTACTTCTGTAGTAGTTGCACACCTCTAGTTGTTTCCAGGACATGAGCTGCTCTTGTATAAATAGCCCAGGCCTGCTAACAAAGTAGGTGAAATATGGCCAAACTTAAGATTTGACCAGTTCTTCATCTTTCATGTAAAATGGTTTTCCAGCAAATAAGGGTCGATCATCATTGTTCATCAAACCAAAAGATTCCAGCTAGTGCTTTCAGGCATCTGCAAGCAAAGACATAAATAGTCACTTCTCAAGTTAGTCAATGCAGTCATTTTGCTAGTTTCCAACCACTGGCCACATGTACCATAATGTTTTGCTGACTTCAAAGAAGTGTTACCTAACTCACGGGTGGTCTATATATCAATTTATTACTAAAGAGCTCTACAATGTTAATATTTCACATTTAGGTAGGTATACTAATGTAGCAATAGCTTCATAGCGTGTATAACACTATTGGAGTCAAAAAGAAAATATATACTTTGGATTAAATTGCTATTCTACAATAGCAGTTAAGGTGCAAGATTTATGTTAACAAAAATTGACCAGGTCTGGATAACTATCTTAGCAAATTTTATTTACACATAATAGATAATGCAATCAAATCAATTTGCAAACAGCCACTTGCACAATCCTATGCTGCTTTAAATAAAGACATTGTTTCAGATTCAGAGAGTGATAATCCTGATGACTATGCAGGACTCACTTCAGTAGCATCTGAGGATGCAAAGGGCATTAGTGAACATATAAAACATGTCACGGATTGATTTCCAGACATTGGACGTGCTTTTGAACAGTTTGAGTCAGAATCAAAAATTGGAGCAGATGCTTGGCTCAAACTGGGGTCCTGGAAATTTGAGATTCAAACAAAAAGTGACTTTCATCAGGAAAAAAATTTAATATAGCACCACTGTCCAACTATAGCAAGAAACAAATGATGTCGCTCAGATAATAACTGCCAAGTTATTTTCCGTAGAGCAAGGAAAGGTTTTGAACTTTTGCTTTAATCCCGACAAGCATTGTGTACAAGGGATTAAATTACATCTAGTATGTTAATAGTTTTGACTATTGTAATATCAATTGAGATGATGCAAGTGGGTTCAGATTAGACACCTTCACTACTCATGCCAAACATTCTAATCCTGCTGTTGTTGGTAACGACATATTGTAAACTGATACCGAGAAACCATGACATATAATTTTACTGCTCCAAATACAACCTACCGTATAGCTTGAAATTTTCATGGAATGTAAATTTCGTGGTTGTGGGGCTTCCCACAACATTTAAACGAGAAGGTGCGGTATAAAAGGCGGTGCCCTGGGCATGGCGGCTTCCGTTTTTTTTCATGTGTAAAAATGTCTGCTCTAAATGATGTTGCTTTTTCAAGGAAAAACGCAGGCAGAGAGGGGTTTTGGTACCAAATTGAGTTACATTTTACTCTCAAAGAAGATAAGGACCAGTTCTAGTTAGGCTTGATCGAGTTAAGGGGTCTTTAGGCACTAAAAGAAGAAGGCGCTGGAAATGCTGTCTCACTTACTTGCTGATTTAGTCGGGAAAGAGGGTCATTTTGCTCTATCACATGATACTAGTTATACTCAATACTTCAGGTAGTTATAATGTGTTTGAAATTAGTATTAATATAAAATAAGGTATTGGTAATGGGGGACGAAGAGCAGCCATTTTGTGCATAGATATAGGATCGGCTATTGGGACGCACATGTTGGTGATAGTGTTGTATGGTTGACCGAAGGGTGATCAATTACAGTCAGGTATTATTTATTATTATTATTATTATTTTATTATAATTATTATCAAAATTATATTTATTTATATTATTACTATTATTATTATAGTATAAGTCATGTGATTGTGCTGAATTTCAATTCAATGATAGTTGAGTCCTGTAATCGTAACTCAAGTTTATTATGTAGTAGATACAGAAGCAAGTATAATGTGAATGTAAAGTAATCATACATTAATTGGCATTAATATTTTTTAGGCTCGTACTAGCATATACTTGTGCTGGTATATTACCATCACAGTACTGCCATATTTTGATCGGCATTACTTGATACAGTTGGGAAGATGTACACAACTACAGGAAGCTTCTCACCATCCCCATATCCATTCAACTCTGTTATTGTATATGCTTAATAATTTAGAATAATATAATTTTTGTATTTACTACTTCCAGTGGATGGTTGAATGTTGCAACTGCTACCAGTACTAGGATCTGATTGAGGACCAAGTGGGGGTCTCTTGCTGTAACCACTTCTACTTGATGAGGGTGGCTGATAATTGGTAGTCGGCCAGGCCTTCTGGTCTCAGTGGTGGCAGTTCCTGGGCTGGTTTTTTATGTAGTAATGAAGGCTATTTCTTTGCCACTATCACTTATACCTGCCTGATAGCATTATTGACCAAGTTCGTTAGGCTGTTGACAGATTTTCAGAATATACAATATAAATATTTGATAATAATGTAAAAAATTATTACTTCAAGTCAATTATTCCATTTCTCTTCTTGCCATGCTTTCTACCTGTGCTTGTAGGTTAACTCTCTTGCCTTTACTAATTTTAATGTTTTTTATAATGCGTTTTGCTAGTGATTTAGCCATGATAAGAACAGTGCCAGTGAGGAAGCCATTTTGTTATTTTCAAATGTGGCCGCCATATTGTGCCCAGGGCACCTCCTTTTATACGGTGACAGGCGGAAGCGATTCTATGACGTTGCGTGGATAGTTTTATAGTGCACCTTCTTCTTTAAACTCAAAAAATCATTGAAGTGCCATCCCTTTACAGGCTATGTAAACTGTCAACCACGAAAATTAAACCATGCAGCAGCAGTACAAGCAGATGAGTGAATACTGCAAGAGTAGCACAAAAGAAATACCTTGAGAAGCTGAAACTGCTAGATCTTGCCATAAAGATGATCCATACAGCCTTGATATACAAACTAATTTTATATATGACATGCCTATTGATACTTTACTAAAATGCCTAAAGGTTGATACAAGGAAGCAGTTATCGAACTGGAAAAGTTTGCTAACTTACAACTATCTCTTTGGTGGACATGTTGGAACAGTCTGATTTGGCTCCTAAACACTGCTGTATATTAAATGCAAGTCCTAACCCAAGTCAGAACTCACCTGAAAAAGTACATACAGCATGGGTTGGCAATATAGTGGCGAAATTATCACAGCATGTTTATAGAAGGGTAAGTTATTATAATTATGATTATAATCATATCCCTTTTTCATTCATGCACTTTACGCGAAGGATGCTCTCACTCTGTAGCAACTTCTTTCAAAGTTGATGCTGCTGTCAAAAATAGCTTGACGTCAGTCACATTAAGCTTTAGTTACTGGAATTAATGTTTCAGTAATAAGGTAGGTACATCTTTGATTTCATCACTTACTGTTTTGTTAATTTTTACTAGCATGAACCAGCAAAAACCACAGAAATAAAGTTTGGAAAGAAATACATATGACAACTGATGTGTCTGCCAAGATGGTGAATGACTTGCAGCAAATAAGTCCTGAAAATGCCGAGGATACATTTCTCATTTTTCTTTGATGTCTTATAACAATGCCAACTATTCTTTCTTACAATGCAACTGCCCAAGATATAAAAATCTCAGCTGAGAAAACCTCTTAAAAGAGTGTGACAGAGTTTTGAAGAACAAATGATGAATTTTTTTGCATAATTCTACTCAACTTCAGGCTCAATTACTTGTATGGCATGAACATCAGCGGGGTCATCAAAGTTTGGTGCTTTTTGTAAAACATCAATTGTTAAACCATCAAAATCTATTGTAAAGAAAATCCAGTATGGAAATACAGTTCCTAATACTGAAGCAGTTAAGTGGGGTAGAAAGCAAGAGATAACGGCATTGGCAGCACACATGGAGATATCTAATAAAAAACACAATTCACAGGAAGTTATAAGTGTGTAAGCTCTGTAGCTCCTCATGTAGGTGCATCTGCTAGGTTTCATGTACATGCTGTGGGATTGGTGTGTGAGAAATTAAGTGTCCTTATAGCATCAACAACAAGTCACTAGTTTGTGCTAATGTGCTTCTTTTATCATGAAAGTTCATGGGCAACTTCAGTTATCCAAGAAGTATAATTACTACTACCAGGTCCAAGACCAGATGTGCACATTTGCTTGTTCATACTGTGAATTTGTGTACTGGACACCTGTTGACACGTACAGAGAATTTACTTTGATGCTAAATTTGCATCAGTCATGGTACCAAAACTGGATGCTTTCTTTCATAATGTTATTCTGCCTAAGGTTTTGTGTAAAGAATGTGCTGTTGATAATGCTAAGGATGAATATGTCTGTCTTTGTCATAAAGGAGAACTAAGCAAAATGATAGAAAGTACCAACATTTATTATAATATTGGATGGTATCATAATCAGTGCCTTAATATTTCAGACACTTTTGCACCTTCAGATGACAAAGAGTGGTTTTGTCCTAATCGTAAAAAAACAAAGTCATGTTTGATATAATCAAAATTAACTAACAATATTACTCCACGGAATTACAAAGATTAGTTAGTGCCCCACAAACAGATAAAATTTTATCAATATTGTTTATCTCCCTATGATTCAGTAACTTTAGCCCATGTAAACTTCTATATTAATTTCTTCTTCATCTGTCCAATTTTCTGATAATTGTAGTTTACCTCTTGTGAAAGCAGGTATTTTCAACTTTTGTTGACTTGCACTCCTTTAACTCCTAGGGACTGCATCTTTTCAGGTGGGGTTGAAATTTTAGCCTCCATCAAAACCTTTTTATACCTTCTGGTTTTGTTATGGCAAAAGTCTACAGACGGTGCAAGCTCCTTTGCTGCACTGCAAAAATATGCTTCACTGTCACAATTTGCAAGAAGAAGGTTGGCAGTACAAAATGATCATTTTGTGAATTGGTTGGAAACAGATTAGCTTTAAATTAAAGGCAATCCATTTTTGGTAGATTTACCAGTTACAATTTACCAATCATCAAGGCCAGTTTTATTCCCAAACATAATAGGGTTACTGGGATTTTTGTAACCACATAAATAGGAGATGAGCTGGTGGGTGTTGCAGGAGAGTGCAAGGAGTCTGTGAATAAAAGGGCACAGATGCTTACTAATATGGTAACTGTTGCAGGGTCGCTTGGAAGGGATGTTCTACTACAAGACAAAAAGTTTTACAAAATCATTATTTATAGACTAGAATGTTTCTATTTCTCAACTACTGCTTCTATAAAGAAAAAAAATTCAATTTCTAAAGAAACCAAAGCAAGTTGCTGTATTTACTGTCATATTAGGAAGGGAAACTCCTTGGCAATAAACTTCTTTATTTGCTAGCCTAAATGCTGTTAATAATCACTTATGGCGTAATATTAAAATAAACTTTAACCTATTGAATGTAATAGCATTATTTGCCATTGTCTTTATTATAATTATTATCATTATATCAGAAATGGCAGAGATCTTCACCCGAGAGCTGCTCACACTGAAATTAGTCAAGTCTGAACAAAAATTCCTTCAGTTACTTCAACAGTGAAGCAAGTACATAGACATTATTGATTGAGCCTTTTTTATTCACCATCAATTTTATTTTATTTCTAGGCAAGCAGGAACTCATCTGTAACTTTATTTTCTATAAAGTAAGCCAGTAAAAGGGTTTATGTAATACCCTTCAATTGTCTACTTATGCAGGTTCCAGACCCTTTCTCTATCCCTCAATTATACAGAAAATTTTGGACATTTGCAAATTCACTAAACAAAATAAGAATAACGCTTTATACTTTTGTTACTAGACTACGTACAGTGGATTGTGAGATACCAGCTAGAGTATTGGTTGCCAAGTATCCTTTTTTGAAAAGTGTTGTGAGTTTTGTCACTTTATTGGACTCGCCGCGTAGGCGGGTATTAAGTAGTTTGGTTGTCTGTCTGTCATTCATTCTGTCCCTTTTTAATGTCTTTTTAAAAATATATAACTTTGAAACCACGCACTCTAAGCTTATAGAGCTTTCTCTACAGCTGGGAAAAGTCTTTCTTTATCATCTAATAGTGTCTAAAGAGCAGAGCCAGGGAGAAGAAGCTTACAAAGTAAGGAAAACTGATTAAAAAATACAGCAAATTTGATGACACTTTTGACATTAATAAAACCATTTTCCAGTAGATTTTTGTCTTCTGTTTCATTAATATGTGTAGAATTTCTTAACTCTTACTTGGTAGCGACTTACGAGCCTTCAAACTTTAGCTCGGCCAGCTTTGAGAAGGGCTGGAGCACAAATATGGTAAGCTAGAGGTACTAAACTCTGTCAACTCGCTCACATCTATCTAGGCAACAGTATTGTGCCATCTTTTCTATCATAAGTTACTCGTGAGAAGAAACAAAATTTCAGCTTTTCAGTCACATGTCATGCTATAAGGCCATTTTCATTATAAATGACAAAGAAACCACGCCTCTCTTAATAATGGGCAATTTTACATGCTTGGATTAAGAATCTTTAGCTGCTTGTTTGCTGTCTTATGCATATTGCCTTAAGTAAATAAAATCTATTAAGACAACAGTATCTGTGCCATCATAATAGGTGTTATTTTTTATAGCTATATTAGACTTGATTTAGCACAAAACATGCATTATAGGCTTAAGCAATAAATTGTAGTATTTATCTCTATCATGCTGCATGATAGAAATCAAGACCACAATTTATTGCTTTTAATAGTGCATAAATGCAAGAGCAACTGCGGCGAGTCCAAGCACCGTAGGTGTCTCGTTAATCCAATTTTTTGTTTTAATATTATTTAATGCCTTGTATACATAAATTTTTTTACAAATTTATGAGGAAAAAATTAATGTTTCGTGGCCTTTGCATATAAATTGCAGCCAATAGTGCCTCCCATAATTATGAAAAATAAGGAATAATGCCAGAGCAGGTGTACATAAATTATATCATCAAAAATCTCTGTGACTTACTAGTTTTAAATATTTGGCACTCTTTTACTGGCACAAGCCACATAATTTGTTTCAAAGCCATTTGTGTTTCAGCAACAAAGTTAAGGAGACATAAATACTTTTCTTGCAATAATATTTTAGTACCGTATACATCTTAAATTTCGAGGAGTGTTTATTTTTGTGTTTTTTTTTGCGGAAAAAAAAGTCTCCACAAAAATTAAAACATTCAGAAATAATTTAATAACTATTAATTAATAATGTTATTTTTCAATTAGACGATGAGTTTAGGTAAGGTTAACCATGCCAACTGCTTGCCATTATATAAAGGGCTCTCCCACTCTGGGGGTGGCTCTATTGTTGCTTGCAGCGTTGCCAGCTTCTTTGCGGGTACCCAGTACTTTATCAGAAGAGGAATCTTTCTTGAGAACTGTTCAATCTGGTTCATGCTGTCTCTATCATTCAGCTACTCTTTTCTCCTTGCCTTGATGTCGTAATCTCAAGGACTAATGGCTTCTGCATCATCTAGTTCCATGCTGGTTGAAACGCCCACATCCTCGGGCGAGGCGATGGCAAGCAATGGCCCAGCTACAGGTCTCTCTTCTCCCTCGGGAGCCTTGGGTATAGTGGCACCCCCAAAAACCAGTGCTCCTACAATCCCGTTGATGACCTGCTACAAGACTCATGGGCAGCCCATCAGCTCCCGTTGCTCCCATTATCTCAGTCCCTGCCCCAGTACCCTCTGGTGGCCTGCCTGCCCCAGTTGCTTGCTCGCCCCAGGTTCCTCTTACTCCTCTAGTGGGCCCAGATGACTTCATGAGGCTGCTTAATGCAGCAGTGGAGACAGGAATAGAGCGGGGCATCGACCATGTCCTCTGTTCTACCGGCACGGGCCTTCCAGCGGTCACAGCAGGATCTAATCGTCATTCTGGGTCTTCAAGTGTTCCTATACCTTCTCCCATGGCTCCTCTCTCAGGTCAGTGGCGTAGCCAGGGGCAGGCCTAGGTGGGCCAGGCTGGCCTGGCCTAACTTTCTTGCTCGTACAAAGCCCCACCTATAAGAATAAAATGGCTACAAGATGCACGAGGTTCTTTGCTGTCATATTTTTAATTTGCAAACAAGCGGTATGTTTCTTTTACTTTTGCTACAACTCTACCAGTAGATCTATTACAGAACTAGGTCCAATGAGGGTTCGGCATCATTCAGAACTACAGACTGTTCGCAGGGCTCCAGTTCCACAAGTACCATGACTACTCAATCACAACCAGATGATGATAGTGATAGTACCAGTAACTCTTCTTATTACCCTGTAACTCCAAATAGTGCTACATTAGATGAGACCTCTAGTGAAGTTAAACAATTTGCTCTTAGTGACACCGATACTCCCAGTGGTAAATCAGTTTCAGTTTAGCTAATAATAATTATTTTTATTTTTAATAGATTTATCTAATCCTGTTGATAATGTCTCAACCTATTCTTGAGTGTTACCCTATTAGAAACTATGGTACAAAGAAGAGGTCTTTTAATCCTAGTTAGTACAAACAGTATAGGTGGCTAGAGTACTCATCAGAGCGTGACTGTGTTATTTGCTATTCCTGTCGTCACTTTCAAAATGGTGTCTCACATACTGATGGAGCCTTCACTACATTTGGATTCTCAGATTGGAAGCATGCCACTGGAGCTTTTGGAGCTCTTGCAAAACATGATAAGTCTCGTACTCATAGAGAATCCATGTTAAATTGGGTGCAATTTCTGTCTACAAAGGAAGCTGGAGCATCTATCGCCAATCAGTTAAGCAGTAGTAGACAAGAGCAAGTCAAGAAGAATCGGTATTACATACAATCAATCTCTGAGGTATTACTTCTCTGTGCTCGAAATGATATTGCTTTACGGGGGCATAATGAATCAGTTTCAATAAAACCAGGAAATTTCAGAAGTATTTTGCAATTGCTTGCTCGACATGACCCATCACTACTACAAAGTCTTCAGAAACACCCATGTAATGCAACTTACTTGTCCCCAGAAATACAGAATGAATTACTTCAGGTCATGGGTAATATTATCAGGCATCAAATCCAGCAAGAAGTAAACAGGGTGGGATTTTTTACTTTGCTCTGTGATGAAACAAGAGACATATCAAAGAAAGAGCAAATGACAATCGTGCTTCGTTATGTATCTGAAGCTACAGTTTATGAGCGTTTCCTCTGCTTTGTCTATGCAAAGGAATTAAATGCAGAGTCTTTAACAAAATATATTTGTGACACCCTTAAAATCATGAGTATTCCCATTACAAATTGTATTTCCCAAGGATACGATGGAGCAAGCGTTATGAGCGGTAGTTGCACTGGGGTTCAAACTAGAATAAAAGAATTGGCCCCAAAAGCAATATACATATATTGCTCTGCACACCGTTTAAATCTCATACTAGTGGACTCAGTAAAAGGAATTGGCTTTGCTTTAGAGTTTTTTGCTTTGGTTGAATTAATTTATGTTTTTTTATCTGCATCCAAGACTCATAGCATTTTCTTGGATGTACAAAAGGAAGTCTCACCTCATAAGCAGCCAATGGAACTGAAGTGACTCATTGAAACAAGATGGGCATGCAAGTATGATGCTATTCATTCAATAATGTCCACTTTCATAGCTATTTTAAAGACACTCGAAATAGTAACTACAGAAGATGCTGCACAATCTGTTGAAGCTCGCGGCATACTACTCCAAATTGAAACTTTTCAGTTTATTTTGAGACTCATCCTTTTGAAAAAAATCCTGAAAGCTACAAAAGGTCTTTCTGAATCTCTTTAAGCCCATGATGCTGATCTTGCTGCTGCTGCTGAGCTTGTAGGTACAACTCAAGATGTACTCAAGGAATATAGGACTCAACCCATTTGGAATGAAGTATGGGATGGCAGTATTTCTTTGGCCTCTGAAAATGGTATCAGTGAGGAGGCACTATCTAGACAAAGGAGATGCCCTGCACATTTAAATGATTCGGTAATTACTGAAACAACAGGAGCCAGGAATCGTATATTAACAAAGAATGATTATTGTAGTCAGTACTACTATCCTATTCTAGACAGACTTCTAACAGAAATGCAGTCACGTTTTAGTAAATTATCTCTGTCTTTGATGAAATCAGTTCAGGCATGTTCACCTAAGTCTCGTAATTTTTTAGACTTATCTTCATTACAGCCATTAATCACACACTACAACTTAGAAAATACAACTCTTCCTGTTCAGTTATTGCAGGCTAAGAGAGTTTTACTTAACAAAGATATTAACACTGTAGCAGGAGCTATACAGGAACTTTTACCTCTAAGAGTAGCCTTTCTTGAGCTTATAAAGCTACTTCAGATGTCATTGACATTGGCTGTCAGTACTGCACAATGTGAAAGATGCCTCTCATCACTAAAGCGAATTAAAACTAGCATCAGATCAACAATGTGTGAAGAGAGATTAAATAATTTTGCAATCTTGTCTATAGAGCAAGAGATGGCAGAAGAATTAGAGAAAAATATGGAACAAGAGGTAGAAAACTTTGCTCATAGCCATCATAATAGAAGGATTTGTTTAAAATTATAATTTTTGGAAAAAATAATGAAAAAAGTGTAACGTAACAGTTTGAACTTTGGAGGAAACTACGCGTAAATGAATAATACCAGGGTTTGTGCATGCAATACACTCTCCCTTTAAAAAATTGGTAATGGCATATTTTTTCCATACTTCTTGTGACATTGTTATCTCTGTTAAGCCCTTTTTGTAATGGCCCAACCTGACGGTATCATAAATATGTGGGCATAAAATGTACGCAAAATGGGGTGTGGCCAAAATTGCGGCGTGCTTCGCGCACCATTTTTCTGTGCCCACTCTGTTGTCATCTCCTGGCTATGCCACTGTCTCAGGTATGTTGTATGTCAGTTGTCTGTCCATGCAAAATCACTCATGTAGGCTGGCTGCAGCCGGACCCGCCTGCCAGGTCATCTTGGGACCCATTAAAATGGTTATTTGGGTCATGGTAGCATTTAGTCCAAAAAAGAAATCTTCTATTAATAAGTGTCCTCCTTGGAGGGTCCAGCTGTAAGCCTGTTGTAACATGCATGTTTTCAGGGCATAGGCAGATCTAGGCCCAGGCTTTGCCCAGGTAGATTTTACTCGAGACCACGCCTATTGGTGTGGTTTGGTTATAATAAGGGTTGGGTACAATACTGTTATAGTTTTGAAAAAGGCTTGGGGTCAAACACTTTTGCTCTGCTGTGCATTACCCTTTGGATGGCAGAGCTAAAGACAGAAAATGATATGCAACTGAGTCAGCAAATAGACATTGGGCTAGGTATGTGTTGCATTTACTTATATCTTTTATATAATATAAAGGTAAAAAATCTTTAAACTAACATGACTAAGGCACATAAGCCTGCCCATGCATTATAACATTATCTGCCTCATGAATTCCAGACTATTCCAATCTTCAATCATCCAGACTTTTTTTAACAAAGAAGAGGCTCAGTGAGGCTATACATCAAAGAAGACAGGCACACAGAAATGAAAAAGTGTCTCTCCGGTAAAACTGAGGTATCATCCTCATACAAATGGTGCAGTGGAGAGATTTGTCAAGACATTGAAGATTGCTCTCAAAACGAAGTTTATTGAAGGAAGAGAATCACATGATGTACTAGAGAGTTTTCTATTTAAGTATCATACCCCACCCCATGCAGTCCCATATAGAAAAAGCAAAATTGCAGCATGGTTGTGACAACCTTGTAACAAGGTTGTTGTCACTTAGTCAGGCAGGCAAGGGTCAGGCACACCTGACTAGTTGTCACTAGGTGGACACAAGGTGGTCACTACATGGCCACAAGGCCCACCACACCCCGAAATTGATACATTTCATCTTGTGACAATGGTCCCCTTGTGGTCAATAAAAACTTCCTGTTGCATTGGTGTTGAATGTCATTCAAACGTAGTAAACGTTTCGTTTTTTGCCTATGCACGTTCTGCTTTATTCTTCGTCCATTTTGAACTTTTGAACTTTACGTTAGAAATCACATCAACTGCTCAGGAGACATAAAGAAGGGCACTAACCTTTCTTTGTGATCTGGACGAGTATTTGGCAAGGCACATGCTGTGACTAGCCTGAGCGTCGACCTTACTAATCAGTAAGCTTACTACTAGTATTTTTCATGATATCGGGTGGCTCAGTAAATGAGGCCAACTACTGAATCGGGTGGCCCTCAGTGTGAGGGGCCCTTACCCAGACATAGATAATCTATTCCCAGAACTTGAAGAGGCCGGCGACCCACGACGTCGATGAAACCCAAGCGCTGCATATCCACTCCAACCTCCAGCCAAAACTTAGACAAAGATGTAAGACATCCTTCGCAACCATAGTAGAAACGAAATAGGACCAGCTACGGCCATGCTAACGAGCTCAGGACGAATAATAAGCAGCTCATTAGCCATCTTCTTCTCCAGATTCGAGCAAATTTTAAGGCCAACGTGGCATATCACGTGGGCAGCTTATATATTTTTAAAAAAACTTCAAAATTGCTACAGATTTGAATGGATAATTGGCCAAATACATTGTCATATATGAAGCCTTCCCATGATGTGGAATTGAATAATTGTCTGATCTTTTGGGAAGATGAAGATTCCTTTACCATTGTTGAATCAGACAAGGTTACAGCTGCTACAGGTACAGGAGATGAGCTGGGAGATGAGTGCAAGGTGAAAATGGGATCTGTTGAGTACAAAGGACTCCTAGTTGGAAAAGGTAAAAATAAAAAGAATTAAGTTAGTTTGGATTTGCAGTAACCACAGTTTTGATAGCTAACAGCTTGTGCATGGTTACCTATTACAATACTTAGTCTATGCATATATTAGGAATGTAATTTCAATGATTTTAACAGGAACATATGAAGAAATGGAAGAGCTAGAGTCATTAAAAATAGCAACAAATGATCCCACTGCAGCTCATGGTAGGTGTATGTACTATTACAGGTACATGTATAGGCATAGTCACATTATAATTTTAGAAAAGAAGAATCAGAAGAAGTGTACTACAGGACAGAAGAGATTTAAAAGTGATGAGACAAATGGAAATGATAAAAGAAGAGGAAGGAGAATAGAAGAAAGGTATAATATGCATGCTACAGTATTGTTATGATAGAGTATCTTTTACACATACACTAGGAAGCATTATAACAGTAACATCACCATAAACAATTTCAGCTTTAATATCACCAAGGTCCCCTTCCTTTTTTGAAAAAGCCCAGTGTCAGCATCTTTACTATCTATCCCATCATCTCCATTATTGCTGTCAATGCTATTATCTCCATTAATATGTACTTCACCACCTTCACTACCACCTCCTATTTTTAGAGAAATATCAGCATCCACTGAACAATTCCCTTCATTATCTGAACAGATATTACCATCATCATCTGAATCACCATCATCTGTGTCATCAGGAATAGAAGGTTTAAAAAAGTAGAATTGAAAGCAACCAATGTACCATCCTAAATTATTTACATTACTTACAGTACAATCAAAACTTTAACTTTACCCCTGCTTTTGGAGCACCACCTTCAATACCAGCTGTACCATCCTTTCAGAAGCCAGTATCTCAACCAGCAACAACTTATCAAATGCAGTCCACTGAATTACCAACAGTGTCAACAACACTAACAGTGTCGACAGTATCAACTGTGTCTACATTGTCTCCATTGCCAATCAACACAAATGGCAAAAACCTTTTGCCATTGTCTCCAATAAAGAGAGCCAAGCTACTGTCAGCCGAAAGTGTGCTGGAAAAGTACCACAACATGTGTAGTGAAAGCAAAGATCCTATGTTGGCATGGAAACTGGCAAAGGAAGCCATATTTGGTGACAGTGTATTGAGGCAATGCACACCTTTAGGAAGCAGGGAATTACCTGCACTACCAATTGTGGAAATAGCCAGTTCCCACAATACCACAATAGCACACAAGAGTTTGAGTCCTTATGGAAGAAGTGTGTTGAATTCATTCAACAAGGCTGCAAGCGTCCTATACTACCAGGCTATAGTAAAAACTAAATCAAGAGAGAGATACATGTATAATAGGTTCATGCATTTATTGTTTTACTTATCTAAAAAATGATGAGAGAGGGGAAAGACATTTCAGTGTTGTTATGGGTATACCAACAGTAACGTTAATAATGTTCACCAACAGTAACTGCTAAAGTACATACATATAAGTGTATATGTACATCTTCATTGTAACTATACAAACATTCCAAAATGCATAGTACATGCATAGTACATGTACATTGTAATTACCTTAACTGCAGCTATACAAACATTGCTACTTGTTAACATCAGCACCAGTACATTTCTAAATACCCCTTCCTGTAATTTGTTGCCATTAATTTATTTAGAGTCACTCAGGGCTATTCTGACCGGTTTTTGCACTATGATCTAATTAAATATTCACAAAGTCATAACTCACTTCTTGTTGCTCTTATCCACTCATTTTAACCACCATTGTGTTCTACTAACTCTATTCTATCTATTTATCATCAAGAGTACATTTATACAAGCCAAGTTC